AAGGGTTAAGATCCCCTTACCGGTCATCTTTATTTAAAAAAAAAAAAAAAAAAAAAACCAAATGTGAGAAGAGGATTTTCAAAATTCTTATTACTGGTTAATTGAACAGTTGCACTCAGTAAGCAGAAAACAATTTTATTCCTTCATCTTTTCCTTTAAACTCATTCTGTCAAAGCAGTACTTTTTTGCCTCTGAATGAACTTTTGGGTAAATTTCTTTTCCTAAGGTGTTTCTAGTATTCTCTTGTAATAAACAGCTATTTTTAAGTAATAAAAATCCCAGTGTAATATCACAACTCCAAACTCTTATTATCAAATTTAAATTTTTTCCTTTTCTCAGCTTGGGCCTGATTTAGACTCATAACAGCAGTGGGGAAAACAATCATGGTTGGTTTATTTCCTGTTCTTTTCCCTCCCCTTTTTGGTAGCTACTCTTTGTGTACAAAAGGACAAGAAAAGTCTTTCTTGATCTTGACTGATACTGTTATAATATGCCATTACTGCTGTATGTGTGTGCCAGATAAATAAATGCTGATTCTTTCATGCTTGAAGTATTTTGAAGGATTCTCTGGAGATTTCCCTATCATTGTGTTGGAAGAACCCAAAATTAAAAATTTTATTTAGCTTGTGTCTGTGCAGTGCCTCTGTAACTAAGTGTGCTTACCTACCAGGGCCCCTGAAGTCAGCCCAGTCAATAATCAACTGCCTGCATTCCTCTCGGTTTGGTAATCATGCTTACAAGCCTGTTCAAGTCACGTGAATTCGGAGAAGCTAAAACCAGCGGCTGCCTGCTTAAGATATACGTTTAGAAATCAAAACTTAAGGAGCCCACCAACCCCACCTATAAACAGCCTTGTAAAAATTGGATTGGAGCCCAGATCTTTAGCTCATCTGTGGCCCACTAACGTAATAAACTTATGACTCTCCAATGCCCACCCCCGCCGAGTGTTTGCCGCTTCCTTGCTAAATCTGATTCTACAACGACTGGAGCTCTCTCATTTGCTGCTATTAATGCTCTCCTTAGCTTTTGCATTTGGTGATAGAATGTCCAGCTTCTTTTGACTGAGGTTACTTTGCCCTTTGCTGGAAGTCATACTGGGCATAATCCCTTTCAAGATGATCCATAATTGGTCCCCTTCTGTGGGATCCATACTTTACCTATAGGTATTATGTACAAGTCTTTGTCATGCCAAACTCTGAAAGTAAATCTAGCTTCCCCTTTATCCTGCCATTCCAAAGCATCTAATAGAACCCTCTTGCCTTTAGACTTTTCAGGTATAAAAGTCAGAAAACAGATTTTGTGGGACATGTGTCGAACCTTCCAAATGCTTCTCCTGGAGCTTCCCATCCTGTGTTGAGGTGAGAGAGGTATTCTTCCCTCCTTGCATGTGACACCAATAACTCTTACAAAGAAATATGCATTCTTAGTCTTTTCATCCTCTGTATATTCTTTACCTTTTCCTAAATAGCTTGGAGATGGGTGGTGGGCTAATACTGGCAGAACTGGGTTTTGACCTCCCATTTAAAAATTCTACACATATGGTTCTACACAGAATAGAGGGTAGAAGTACTTCTCATTTATTATTTTGTTTTCATCTATGAGGCCACTATCCAAACTCAAAGACTACGTGAAAGCCTCATTTAACATCCTACATTCCTCAAGTTGCTGTTAACATTTGTAAGTTAAGACACAACCACAGAATTTTACTATTAGCCATCTAATATAGAAAGAACTCATGAGGTCAACAAAGATAGATCCCTCCTCCATTCCTTCCACCCTAGAGGATTACTATAAAAATAAGGGTGACAGAGGCTTGAGACCTGAAAAGGTCCTAACAAGCAGTTAGACAGTGGGAACTAACTTCTCTCTCTCAAGCCCAAAATCTGGAGATGGGGTAACAGGTGAGAAGATGACATTTGAAGAGGTGAAGTAGAGGGGGCATGTGCCAAACTCCATGTTAAGAACTCTAGAAGGCAATGTCCACACAGGGTGGAAACTCAACATAAAAATAAGAGCTTGGGATGTTCATGCAGAGAGGGGGCCTCAGTTAGTCCTCCTGAGATTCCCTTAACTCTTGTGTACTGTGAAACAAGTTCTCAAAGTTCCATACACCAAGAGCAAGGCAGGAGGTAGTCAGATTTAGACCCAAGATACCTGGCATAGGGCTACTGTGGCGAGGTGACTCTACCACACAGGTTGCAGAAAGGCAGACTAGTCAAAGTCTGGATAGAGGACTTCAATGAGACTCAAAAAGTTTGGGGAAGCAAAGGCAAGACAATGGAAAATCAACAATGGAGGACTCCAGGTCCTAAATTAGGCCTTAAGTTTACCTGACTTTTATCAGTGGAGTCCAGCCCAGCATAGAACAAGTCTAGAAACCCTGCAACATAAATCAGTAAAAATCTAGAGACAGCTTGTAGATCCCAGATATCCTCAGGCCCCAACCTCACCCTTCTGTTGCTCCTCCTACAAAGCTGCATAAGATCAGCCCCTATGATATACACCTATAGTTAGGGTGACTATTTGTCCAAACTGGAGCATTTCTGGAGGGTAAAATGGTGCTCTATTAAGAATTATGTCAAAGCAACAGGCATATACTGAGACTGTCCCAGGCAAATCAAGAGTTAAGATCACCCACCTATATGCTATCCTTAGAAATACGGAATGGGGAGAAAATCTGAGATTCAGCCTTAACCGAAAAGAGACTTTTAACTGAAAGTAACTGGAGGACAATAAGTTTAACTCATCATTTCCTAGCTAAATAGAGGAGAAGAGTGATGAGGGCCCAAGATAAGTTTAGATCAGTTATTTAAAAAATAATAATAAAGCTATCTTTTCTTTGCACATACAAGTGGTAGGTTTTATTTTTTAGAGAGGGTAGCATTTAGGGAAGACAAGAAACAGGATCACATACACATAATCGAGGGGTTTATGTTTGCTCCATTTTAATATATAGGAAACAGTCATTGAAGTAGGTCTACATGTATCTCACAGCAATATAAATAACATGCTCTTTCTCCATTACCTACCACACCAAAGTTGTAGGGTTTTAACTTTGTGAATGTGCTACGTAATCAAAGAGAATGCCAAAATGTCTAGCAGACAATAGGTGCTCGAACTGGTATTATTATCCAAATACTACATCTTCCTTCTTAAAAATACATTGCATTGCAGAAGAAACTGTGGAAGAAATTTTTTTTAAAATGAGTTCATCATATCTCTGGTAACCTCGGTCATTTAATTTTACAGTTTTCACTGTCATTCACTGAAGAACAATAGTGCACCCAAGAATAACAGTAATAGTTGTTCTTTTCTTCAGATTTTTTTCACCACTTAGATACAAACATATTTATAAGGAGGTTACTACACTAATGCTACTCTCTTGTCACTCTACATGCTTTCCCAAGTAAACAACTATGCCTTCAGCCCAACCCTTTCCCTTGCTCTCCAGGCTGAGACACCCAATTGCTTGTAGGACATTACCATTTCAAAGTGCTGTAGGTACCTCAATATCATCCCAACCCCCTCCTACTTTTCCATTTGTATTCCCTCACCTAGAGAATAAGTCATCATTCATCCAGTTTCCTAAGTTGGAGGGCTGGGGGCCAACTTGAATTACATCTTCTTTCCTCAACCAATGAGTCTTTAAGAATTATTGACTATCTCCTTCCTAAATTGTTCTCAAATTTTTCCTTCCTGCTATCATTGCTGGTAAAGTTCAGGTCCTCATTATGCCTTATTTGGAATGCTACAACAGTCACCCATCCAATCTAATTATTCCTTCCAATCCATCTTTTTCTTTGCTGCAAGAGTGACTGCTCTAAGAAATCTGATCATGCAAATCTCTGTGAAGGGATAACAGATAAGGATGTTGTTTGGGTAATGCAAATGTTCCACAAAAATCTGTACTTGAAATTATATCAGTCCTCACCCCCACAATCTCATCAGCATAGAATACCTGTACTTTAGATTTCAATCCTCACCCCCATACTACCATCAACACATGATAATTTTATTTTAGATTCCCACCAAAGAAGACAATACTACTATTTGCCATTTAAGTCTGGTTAAAAAAAAAATCTAGTTATAAGACA